AAAGCTACTAACAAGCTATTCAACTTTCTGGGAAAGCAGGGCTTGGGAGTATTAAAAAAAATAAAATAAAATAAATTACAATATGGAGAAAGAGAAGTCAGGTATTTAAGGCACCTAATGTCTGAAGGAAAACAGAATAAATGCAGAGAGGATTCAGGGAATTGTTGAAAATTAAGAAAGAACTAAAAAAGTTTTAAAAGAAAGATTTTTTTAAGGAATCAGGAGCCATGAAGTGTGAAGGAAAATGGATACTCCCTGATGGGAGAGAAATGCTGAATGAAGGGATAAGGAGGCAAATATTAACTGTTTTACATCAGAAGAGTCATTGGGAGGTGCAAGCAATGTGTGATGTTGTGCTACGAAAGTATGTCTGTGTAGGAATATACACTTTAGCGAAGCACATATGCAGGGCATGTACCATATGTCACAAGGTAAATAAAAAGGTCTTCTGTAACCCATCTAGAAGAGGACGGGAGCCAGGGGTTTGACCTTTCCAAAGTATACGGGTAAATTTTACTGAGTTACTTGTTCGTCCTAATTGACCACGTGACTGGATGGGCGTAAAGCTTTACTGCAAGGATTAAAGCAGGCCTTAGAGATTGAGTGGGATTTTCACAGCCCCTGGCACCCCTCCTCTTCTGGGAAGGTGGAGCGAATGAATCAGACATTAAAGAAGCAATTAACTAAACTAGTGTTAGAAACCCAACTTCCGTGGGCAAAATGCTTACTCCTACAGGTTTAAACAGCACCAAGAAAGGATACAGGAATTTTACCATATGAGATGCTGTTCAGATTGCCCTATCTGGGCAGAAGGGATGAGATACCACAATTCACAACAAGAGACTTTTCTTAAGAACTGTATTCTGGGGTTGTCCTCTTCTTTGTCATTTCTCAGGACCTGTGGGTTGTTGGCTCAAACCCCACCTTTGGAATTCCCCATTCACCACCATCACCCAGGAAACCGGGTCCTGATTCGGACCTGGAAAGAGTCAACTCCGGCCTGAATGGGAAGGACAATTACTAACCCCTGAAACAGCCGTAAGAACTGCGGAAAAGGTTGGACTCACTATACTCGAGTGAAGGCATCCGCCGACGCTAGTACCTGGGAAGCTGTTCCTACGAAAGAGTTGTTGGAAGTTGAAATTGAAGAGAAAAATCTCATCGTGGACTCTGAGCAGGATAAGAGCTTACAATTGTAAACTAACCTTTTATTTTCACAGGTAACTAACGACTGTGACTTGTGATTGAGAGAAAGAACAGACCTATAGTGAATTGCAGTGCTCCCAAGGGGGGGTTGTTATAGTAGTAGTGTACATCTTATTTTTTGTATCGATAATTGTTTGGAAACCTAAGGTTTAAAAATAATGACAGGGAAAAATAGATTACTAATTTTGTTTTTAGTGATTCTAGGCCTCAGAGAAGGCCTCGGTCAATCGGCAACTCGGAAAAGGCATGACCAGATAATAGCAAAAATGGGATACCCCATCAAAATACGGGTGACTGTGACAGAGGGTTATATACCACAATCTGTCACGTTTGATGTTTGTGAGGTGTTAGCTTGTGGAGATTTAAATGCCCAACGACAATTTAGCAGAGAGAACAAATAACTGGGAGAGACCCCCACAGCCAGATTGAAAGCAGCTGTATGGAAACAATCCTCTATTGCCATCAGAGAAAGGGAGAAACTCAAGGAGAAAACAGGAGAGAAAACAGGAGGCCCTCTGTAATGTGTCAGTTCAAACAAGGTATGGGGATGTGAATGCCTGGATACAATGGGTCAAATATACCGTCCAGAGTCTCAATTGTAGCTACTGCTATGCTTGTGCCTTGGGATGACCGATTGCCCAGATAGTGCCCTTCCCATGGGGGTGGACCGAAGACTCCCAAGGGATGCGATGTATGATTGCATTGTACCAAGAAAAGACTGCCTGGGGAAATGAGGCCTGTAAGTCTCTCTTTGCTGTTTCTTGCATGATAACAATATCACGGCTCCCCCTGCATTCTCTACAGCTATAGGTAACCATACAGCTTGCCTCTCACGCCAGGGTGTGAGTGCTACGTGGCATCTGGGAGAATTTGCCTTGTGCTACCAAGGACTTGATGGGAAACTCCTCAAGACTAGAGATCCCCAGGGCAGATCTCTGGTGGTACGGTGGAGGGAAGATCTTACGGTCCACCCTACCATCTAATTGGGAAGGCACTTGCGCACTTGTTCAATTAGCTATACCCTTCACCGTGGCATTTGAAAGAGAAACATCACAAATACCCAGAAGTAAAAGAGGCTTAGGAATATCATTTGCTGATAGAGTATATATAGATTCTATTGGGGTACCTAGAGGAGTTCCAGATGAACATAAAGCCAGAAATCAAATTGCTGCAGGGTTCGAGTCACTGGTCTGGTGGGTAACAATCAATAAAAATGTGGATTGGATTAATTATTTCTATTATAATCAGCAGAGATTCATCAATTATACCAAGGATGCGATGAGAGGAATCACTGAACAACTAGATGCCAGCAGCAAAATGGCTTGGGAAAACAGGATAGCATTAGATATGATGCTCGCAGAGGAAGGAGGTGTGTTTGTGTGTGTAATACTGAGCAACCATTGTTGCAATTTTATACCCAACAATAGTGTCCCAGATGGCTCGGTAACAAGAGCATTGCAAGGGCTTACCCCCCTTGCCAGTGAATTGGCAGAAAAAAAAATAAAATAAAATAAAAAAAAAATAGGCATATTTGCGACATTGATTGTAGTTGTAGGAGTTTTGACAGCCATTGGTTGCTGCATTATCCTCTGTGTAAGAGGACCAGTACAGTGGTTAACTGAAAGCGCACTAATTGAAACAAATGACCATGGAGCTACCACCTTACTCAGATAAGGAGATAATGAGGAGATGGAAAGCAAAGAAGAAGTCTATCAAATTGCACCTTAGAGAAAGGTTTTGCCAAAATCAACAGTTTATAAAAAAAGAAAAGGGGGGAATTGTGGGAATAGAAATGTTGTTTTCGCAGAGTTATATTGTTTAGAAGGAAGGAATGTGGTACTGAGATATGCTTACACTGATAAAGTTTAGCAGGCGACCCTGTAAAATGCAGACAACCAGACTCCTTAGGACAATTAGGTGAAAATCACGGTGTCAAGTCAAGTCAGATAAGCGAAGAAACATTACCACTTCAAGCAGCAAAAACATCAAAAGAAATTTGAAATTTAGCAGGCCGGCAACTGAAGACTACGCATTGTTTGTGAAGCATCAGATAGATTGTGAACGTGGATTACCCACTCAGTAGGGAAACAGGGGAGGGTCTTGCCATCAAAAGGTATATAAACTGTGTTTTGGAACTAGTAGAGGCGCTCTCTCCTGCTTGTGGGGCGCCCCCCATTGCAATCGCGAATAAATTACTACTTCACTGAGATCCTCGCCTGAGCCTAAGTTATCGGCTAACGGAGTGTTTCTCACAAGTCTTCTTTAGAAAAATAGGAAATTCTTAAGGCCTGGGGTGAAAAAAGGGTTTTGTGGTTGTAGAGTACAGGGTAAACACAACATTTCCAGGACATGTGTGGAAAAAGGAGGGGTCAAACCCCAGCCCCCTGTGGGGAGAATAAAGTTTTAGTTTGGTAAATTTTCCTTTGAGAGGATAAAGTTTTGAGAAGACATCCTATTTCGGTCAAGATGGATTTTGGGAAAATCCAGCCTTTTCACCTCAAAAGCTCCCTTGGAGGTCGGAAACCCTCCTTAGACCGTGCCCCGAGGAGTTTAAAAGGTTTAAGGGCGTGCTTTCAGGAGGCACTGCTCCAAATCACATGGAGAGGTCTTTCCAACCTTAAAGATTTTAGAATTCCAGGCTCAAAAAACTTGTTTTTTTTTTTTTTTAAACATCCAAACACCACTTTTTTTAAATCCAAGCCTCCCTTTCCAGGACCCCAAAACCTCACTGCATGCTTAAACCCTCCTTTTTCACACCAAGTCCCATTTCCCAGTGCTGGGGGACCCGGTTTTTAAAGGTCCGAAGCCTCATTTGTGGGTTTCAAAACCTTTTCTTTCAATTCTAAGCCCATTTCTGAGGGCTCAAGGCCGAGCCTGGGGGAAAACCTGGGGGGGGGATTTTGCTGCCTTGGGGGATTTGGGGGAGATTTAGGGGTTTTCAGGCATTCTGGGAGGCTGACAAGGGCATGAGGTGGGGGAGCTGAGGCTGTGCCCCCGTGTTTGGGGTCTCCCGGGCGGCTGGGTGCCATCATTGGGGTCCCTTCATGAGCAGGGGTTCCCTTTGTGTCAGGGGGCTCTGCTCCCACATCTTCTCTGGAGCTGAAGGGACCTGCAAGGATCCCCCACCCCAGGCTTGGGGGACCCTCACCCCGGGGCCCACACCCTCACCCTGAGGGTCCCCCCACAACCATGGGGGTCTCCCCGTCACACTGAGGGGCTCCCCACCAATCTGAGGGGCCCTCCGTCACCCTGGGGGGCTCCCCACCACTCCCAGGGAAGCCCCAAGACCCCCGAGCAAAGCTCGGAGGGAGCACAAAATGGCCACCCTCCCTCAGGGCCCCCTCAGCCTCCCTCCTGCCCCATGACGGGGAGCAGAAGCTGGGCTCCCTTTTGGGCTCTCCTGCCAGGGGGGCTCCTCCTCACCCCCAGGGCTCCCCACCAGGACGGGATCTGCAAAGTGGGCTGCAGCTCCAGGGTTTGTGCACCCCCCAGGAAAGCCCGAAGGCCCCAGAGCAAACGGAGCCCCACAGGGAATCCCAACGCCCCCAGGGGGAGCTCTGAGCCTGTCACCTGGAGCGGCTGCCATTTTGTGAGGTGAGGCCGCCGTTTTGTGTGGTACAGCCACCTTTTGGTGAGGCGAGGCCAACATCTCATGTGGTGCAGCCACCGTTTACGATAGGCGAGGCCACCATCTTGCATCCCAATTCCACCCCCCTCCTGAAATACCGCCCCCCCCCCACCCAATTAGCACTGTTATAAGTTGCCCCCTTAATTAATTTTCGGAGACCATTGCATTAATAATAGAAAGGAATTTATTGAGTAAGCAAAAGCAAGCAAAACAGCACTGGGCGGCCGGGGAGTCCCTGCTCCTCCAACAGCACGCACCTCAGCCCCCGCCAGGGGTCCCTTTCTATATTTTGGTGATTCCAAGATTACACAGCACATCCAGGTACGTTCTGCGACTGCACGCACTGTCGCTAGGGGGTCGTCTCTGTCCCTCTGGCAGTCGTGAAGATAAAGGCCGTAGTCTTCCTCAGCGTTGTGGTTCAACTTATTTTATTTGGTCACGTTGGCCCAGCAGGAGACAGGAAGGCAGGATGTTGCTACACTAGGTTAGCAACTTATCAGGAGATGGCACCCTGTGCTTTGCAACAGTGTCTTTAAACAAAAGAGGCCACTGGGATGCAGAAGGAGAGAAGAGGGGGGGCTTCTCTTTTTTGTTACATTAAGCAAAAGAATTTTCATAGTGTCTAGCCCAGCCTTATACAGCTCCTTAATTCGGCCGAGAGCTCTCTTCTCCCGCGCCTCAAACAGAACTCCTTGTTTTTACAATACAAAAGACAGTGAACCAACACTTACTGTGTATTACAAGCACCCCCTTAATTACCCTCCCCCCCCCTCCATTGCCCTCCCACGCTGTTGGGTAATGCCACAGAGCAGGGGATCAAGGCAGTGCATGGCTTTTCCTGCAGCAAGGCCACTTGAGGCAGCTGCGAAAGGCACCAAGGCCCAGGTGCCACCGACTGACACAGAATGACAAAACGTCACAAAATGACAGAATGGGGGGGATTGTGAGGGGCCTCAGAAGACCATCTAGTCCAATCCATGTCCCTGCTCACTGAGGGAAGGGCTGCTGATGCCCTCTGCTTAGCCTTTGGTGCGGCCTGCCCCAGTATTCTCCTGGAGAAGCTGCAGCCCAGGGCTGTGACAAGTACCCCGCTTCACCAAAAAAAAGCATGTTTTTCTTTCAAAATGTGGTTCAAAACTGGCCAGGTGGCCAGGCCCAGAGAGCGGTGGTGAAATCGAGCTGGTCGGGAGTGGTGTTTGCCCAGTGCTGGGGCCCATCCTCGTTAAGATCTTCATTAATTGTTTGGATGAGGGAATTGAGGGAATTGCCCTCAGGAGGTTTGCAGGTGACACCGCGTCCTGCCTCGGAGCACCGCGTTCAGCTTTGGGCCCCTCGCTCCCAGAAGGACATGGAGCCCCCGCAGCATGCCCAGAGCAGGGCAACAGAGCCGGGGAAGGTTCTGGAACATGTCCTGTGAGGAGCGGCCGAGGGAACCGGGCTTTGTTTGGTCTGGAGAAGGCTCCGGGGAGACCTCCTGGCTCCCTGAGACTCCCTGACCACGTCCTGGGACGGAGTTGAAGGATGGGGGCCATGAACAGGAGGCTGTGGGACGAGGCGCTCGAAGGACAAGGGGGTCGGGGGAGTCGGGAGGGATTCGGGGATGGCTCCTCCCGAGCTCACAGCGTCCCAGCAGGCAGCAAGGTGAGGAAGGAGAGCAGCAGGGCCTTCCTCCTCCTGGGGGTGCTCAGGAGGTGGGGAGAGGTCCTTGTCCTCCTCTACTCTGCCCCTGTGGGGCTGTGAGGGGGATATGGCGTCCCGGTCTGGGCCCTGAGCTCCGGGAGGACGGGAGCTGCTCGAGGGAGGCGGGTGCGGAGCTGGGAGGATGCCGGGGGCTGCTGGAGGACGCTGAGGAGTGACCCCAGGAGGCTCTGGATAAACAGATGGCATTTCTTTAATTCCTTTGTGGTTGTGGGGGGGGGGGGGGATTCTGGAGGCATCCAAAACCCCTGTGAGCTGGAGGCCCGCTTCCTGTCCGTGCTCTGGCACAGAGATAACCAGGGAGGAGTCTTCAGATTCTGAAGTTTCTTGCGGATTCTTCTGGGACTCGGGCTCTGGCTTCTGCTTCGGCACCTGCCACAATCTTCGAGGCAAGCAGCAGTGCACCACCAGCACGTACCGGGGCTCCCACAGGCGTCGCAGCCAGTGGAGATGCTGCCTCACAGTCTGGATGGTGCAGGCGGTCTCTTCACACACCGAGGGCTCTGCGTCATTCATCATGGGCTCCAGGACTGCGGGAGGACAGAAAGAGGCTGCAGCCTCTCCTTGGGCCGGGGGAGACCCCTCCAGGAGCCCCCTGGCCGGGAGGAAGGCAGGGAGAGCTGCTGTGAGCACCCCCCCCCCCAGCCTCCCCGAGGCCTGGCCTCCACCCCGTCCCCCCTCACTCACTTGCAATTATTTCGTACACTTTCTCTTCACTCTGGTCCCGGTGATGTTCTGCCGTGAGCCCTACGATCAGAAGCCGCCCGTCAGCCTCCGCCCCAGGGAGGGCACGGGGAGGCCCCGGGGCCATTGTGGGGGCAGGGGGAGGACAAGCAGGGGGCAGCTCACGAAGGATCAGGCAGGCGTGTTCTGATCCCCAGGGTCTGGTTCATGTGTGCCACCACTTGCAGCTCATCCCACCACAGCAGCTCAGACCAAGCCCTCAGGGCTTCCTGGGCAGCCTGCGGGGCAGCGGAGGCAGGGAATTGGCACCGGCTCCTCACCGCCTGCCTCCGGCCCTGCCGCGAGCCCCCCCCACCCCATGGGCGCCACGCTTGGGTTCTCCTCGCTCATGCGGAGGTAGAGGGTCAGCAGGACATTGTGCACTTTCTTCCACATCTTTCTGCGGTGCTTCCACAGCACGCGCTCCATGCACGCACTGAAGAGCTTCATGGCATTCTCCCGCACCATGTCGGCCTCCTGGAAGAGGAAGAGGAGGACGGAGGCTGAGTGATCCTCGCCCGCCCAGCCGTGGCACGGGGTGGGTGCCGCAGGAGCCTCGCCCCCCCCCCTTACGTTGTCCAAGTAAGGCGTGAGCAGATCGACCAGCCACAGGGAAGTGATGCTGGCCGACTTGTTCATCAGGGCGCGCAGGACCCTGCAGCACACCGCCAGCGCCGCCGCCGTGATGTGGGGGTTGCCGAACCGCAGGGTTTTCAGGACGTCAGGCAGCAGGATAATCCCCGTTGGCCCCTGCAATGACAGCAGCGAGCCCAGGGCGTGAGGAGGCCGCCGGGGATGGGGAAGGGCAGGGTGTGTGGGGGAGGGTGTGTGGGGGGGGTGCACTCACCATCTTGGGCCTCCCCAGCATCGCCACCAGCCCTTTGAGTGCGATCCAGAGCAGGTGGAAGTTGGTGTTCCTGATGCATCTCTTCAGGCACTCCACGTCCTGTAGCACGGCGGGGATGGGGTCCTCGGGGCTCAGGGTCTGCATGAGGCTGAGCTGGAGGATTTCGTAGTCCTCGGTCATCCCAAAGTGCGCACGTATGGTATTGTTTTGCAGCAGCAGGCAAATCTCATTGAGGAGCTTCTTTGTCATCCAAGGCATGCTGAAAATCTCCTCCCCCCTCTCCATCAAGGATCTACAGGCACAGACAGGGCACTGAGGGGCCCTGGAGGGGGCTCTGTGGGGTTTTTGGGAGGCTGTGTGATTGGTAGTTCTGTCTCATGGGGCAGATGAACAGTATCATCACAGCAACAGAGTGGGGATAGCAGCATGTCATGAGGACTGGCCCCTCAAGTAGCTTCTGCCAAACAGCAGGCATCACTTCATCTCCCTGCCTATTGCACAAGATGACAAAGTGTGGGACATGGCAGGAAAGGGGACAAATGGGGTCCTCCCCCCCTGCATTCAGCAAGGAGACCCACTGCTTGTCCTCCTCAGGCACCTCATGTGACACCACCTATAGGCAGGTCGGCATCAGGTCTGTGCGCTGCTGCTCCAGCAGGTACCTTCCAAACAGCTGCAAAAACGCAGGGACCCAGCTCAGCTGTGGGGGTGGGGGGGGGGGGGGGCCCCACAGAGGGCCACAGAGAAAGGGAATAAGCCCCCCACCTCCACAGCTCGCAGCATCCCAAGAGGCAGCAAGGTGAGGAAGGAGAGCAGCACAGCCTTCCTCCTCTTGGGGGTGCTCAGGAGGTGGGGAGAGGTCCTCATCCTCCTCTACTCTGCCCCTGTGGGGCTGTGAGGGGGATATGGCATCCCAGTCTGGGCCCTGAGCTCCAGGAGGACAGGAACTGCTTGAAGGAGGCAGGTGCAGAGCTGGGAGGATGCTGGAGGCTATGGAGGACTGAGGCATGACCCCCGGAGGCTCAGGATAAACACATGGCATTTCTTTAATTTCTCTGTTGTTGCGGGGGGGCAGTGCTGCAGGCATCTTTCCTGGAGGCATCCAAAACCCCTGTGAGCTGGAGGCCTGCTACCTGTCCGTGCTCTTCCACAGAGATGAGTCCAGGGAGGAGTCTTCAGATTCTGAAGTTTCCTCCAGATTCTTCTGGGGCTCAGGCTTCTGCTTTGGCACCTGCCACAATCTTCGAGGCAAGCAGCAGTGCACCGCCAGCATGTACCACGGATCCCATGGGCGTTGCAGCCAGTGGAGATGCTGCCTCAGAGTCCGGATGGTGCGGGCAGTCTCTTCACACACCAAGGGCTCCACATCATTCTTCATGGGCTCCAGGACTGCAGGAGGACAGAAAGAGGCTGCAGTCTCCGCTTGGGCCAGGGGAGACCCCTCCAGGAGCCCCCTGGCCGGGAGGAAGGCAGGGAGAGCTGCTGTGAGCACCCCCCCCCCAGCCTCCCCGAGGCCTGGCCTCCACCCCGTCCCCCCTCACTCACTTGCAATTATTTTGTACACTTTCTCTTCACTCTTGTCCCGGTGATGTTCTGCCACGAGCCCTAGGATCAGAAGCCACCCATCAGCCTCCGCCAAGGGGAGGGCAAGGGGAGGCCCCAGGGCCATTGTGGTGGCAGGGGGCAGCTCACCAAGGATCAGGCAGGCATGTTCTGATCCCCAGGGTCTGGTTCATGTGTGCCACTTCTTGCAGCTCATCCCACCACAGCAGCTCAGACCAAGCCATCAGGGCTTCCTGGGCAGCCTGCAGGGCAGCGGAGGCAGGGAATAGGCACCTGCTCCTCACTACCTGCCTGCGGCCCTGCCACAAGCCCCCCCCACCCCATGGGCACCACTCACCTTGGCCACACTCCTGTTCTCCTCACTCACGCGGAGGTGGAGGGTCAGCAAAACGTTGTGCACTTTCCTCCACATCTTTCTGCGGTGCTTCTGCAGCACACGCTCCATGCACACACTGAAGAGCTTCATGGCATTCTCCCGCACCATGTCACCCTGCTGGAAGAGGAGGACGGAGGCTGAGCGATCCTCACCCACCCAGCTGTGGCCCAGGGTGGGTGCCACAGCAGCCTCACCCCCCCCCCCTTACATTGTCCAAGTAAGGCGTGAGCAGATCGACCAGCCAGAGGGAGGTGATGCTGGCCAACTTCTTCCTCAGGGCACACAGGACCCTGCAGCACACCAACATTCCTTCCACCATGATGTGGGGGTTGCCCAACCACAGGGTTTTCAGGACGTCGGGCAGCAGGATAATCCCCGTTAGCCCCTGCAATGACAGCAGCAAGCCCACGGTGTGAGGAGGCCGCCCGAGATGGGGATGGGGAAGGGCAGGGTGTGTGGGGGAGGGTGTGGGGGGGGTGCGCTCACCATCTTGAGCCTCTCCAGCATCACCGCCAGCCCTTTGAGTGCGATCCAGAGCAGGTGGAAGTTGGTGTTCCTGATGCATCTCTTCAGGCACTCCACATCCTGTAGCACGGCGGGGATGGGGTCCTCGGGGCTCAGGGTCTGCATGAGGCCGAGCTGGAGGATTTCGTAGTCCTCGGTCATCCCAAAGTGCGCACGTATGGTATTGTCACGCAGCAGCATGCAAATCTCATTCAGGAGCTTCTTCGGCATGCCGGGCGTGCTGAAAATCTCCTCCCACATCTCCATTGAGGATCTGCGGGCACAGACAGGGGGTGTTGAGGGGCCCTGCGGGGTGTCGGGGGCCCTGTAGGGTTTTCAGGAGGCTGTGCAATTGGTAGTTCTGTCTCATGGGGCAGACGAAGAGTATCATCACAGCAACAGAGTGGGGATAGCAGCGTGTCATGAGGACTGGCCACTCCAGTAGCTTCTGGCACACAGCAGGCATCACTTCATCTCCCTGCCTATTGCACAAGATGACAAAGTGTGGGACATGGCAGGAAAGGGGACAAACAGGGTCCTCCCCCCCTGCATTCAGCAAGGAGACCCACTGCGTTTCCTCCTCAGGCACCTCATGTGACACCACCTCCAGGCAGGTCAGCATCAGGTCTGTCCACTGCTGCTCCAGCACATACCCTCCAAACAGCTGCAAAAAGGCAGGGACCCAGCTCAGCTGTGGGGGGGGGCCCCAACAGAGGGGCACCAAGAAAGGGAATAAGCCCCCCACCTCCGCAGCTCACAGCATCCCAGGAGGCAGCAAGGTGGGGAAGGAGAGCAGCACAGCCTTCCTGCTCTTGGGGGTGCTCAGGAGGTGGGAGAGGTCCTCATCCTCCTCTACTCTGCCCCTGTGGGGCTGTGAGGGGGATATGGCATCCCACTCTGGGGCCTGAGCTCCAGGAGGACAGGAACTGCTTGAAGGAGGCAGGTGCAGAGCTGGGAGGATGCTGGAGGCTGTGGAGGACTGAGGCGTGACCCCAGGAGGCTCAGGATAAACACGTGGCATTTCTTTAATTTCTCTGTGGTTGCAGGGGGGCAGTGCTGGAGGCGCCTTTCCTGGAGGCATCCAAAACCCCTGTGGGCTCGAGGCCCACTCGCTGTCCCATGCTGTGTCATGGATCTCAGTGCACTGAGGAGTCTTCAGATTGTGAAGTTTCTTCGGGATTCTTCCAGGCCTCTGGCTCCCGCTTCAGCGCCTGCCACAATCTTTGAGGCAAGCAGCAGTGCACCACCAGCATGTACCAGGGATCCCACAGGCATTGCAGCCAGGGGAGATGCTGCCTCACAGTCCAGATGGTGCAGGCAGTCTCTTCACCCACCAAGGGCTACACATCATTCCTCCTGGACTTCAGGACTGGGGGAGGACAGAAAGAGGCTGAAGCCTCCACTCAGCCTGGGGGAGACCCCTCTAGGAGCCCCCTGGCCCTGACAAAGGTGGGGACAGCCAGAGAGCAGGTAGTGGGACAGCCAAAGCCACAGTGCACCCCCAGCCTGTACCATGGATCCTGGGGGCATTGCAGGCAGTGCAGATGCCGCCTCACAGTCCAGATGGTGCAGGCAGTCTCTTCACACACCAAGGGCTCCACATACTTCACCACAGGCTCAAGGACTGCAGGGAAGAGGCTGCAGCCTCTCCTTTTGGCAGGGGGAGACCACTCTAGGAGCCCCCTGGCCAGGACAAAGGTAAGGACAGCCAGAGAACAGGTAGTGGGACAGCCACTCCCCTCCCTACCGCCACCCCCCCCCCCAGAGGGGGGAGCAGGACTCACAGACCACCACAGACAGCTGCCACAAGGAAGGCAAGTGAGCACAGAGGACACACAGAGGCACACAGCACCCATGACAGCAACCAGCAGCAGGGCAACAGTCAGACCAGCCCCAGGCAGTCCAGCAGCAGACCAGCACCTGGCCAGGGGCACACAGCACAGCAGCAGCCACCA